GCGGGTGTTAATGACGGCTCTTTGTCAGTAGCGTTCTCGCGCAGTTTCTCACGACGGCGAAGTTGCGAGAGTTGCGCCGAGTTGCGCGCGCGCGCGCGCGCGCGCCGTGAGAATTCGAGGCGATTTTCTTCGCGCGATCCGCGACGAGAAATAAATGTTCGCACGATACTACTCTGCCTCGAGCGACATCATGCGAGATCTCGAGTGCGAGATGCGAGAGTGCGTGCGTGTGACGCGATTAACGTGTACATTGAGAGAAAAGTATATGATATTTGGAACTAATAATGATACAGTAACTAAATTATAGTCCGAAATATCATATTTATAGCAAGTATCGGTTAGCATAATATCGGTAATAATTACGATACAGGCATAGTATAACCAACCATGTAATATTTGTACTAAGAATTATAGTAAGTTAAACTAAAATTATTCTATGGATACAGGTATAAAATGGTAGGTAAACTAACTCTTTGATATAGTCAATATTACCCGAATATTTGCTAAATGATGGCAGATGTAACTATATGAATATTAAATCTCGCTATATTTGTGAATGAGAAATTACCATATGTGTGGTAAAAGAAGTAACTAAACAATTATTTCAGACAATCATTGACTATATATTTGTGTTTATTCTACTATATTCTGCAGGTTCCACCAACTATAAAAATATGGTTGATTGGCCAAAATGAAGTATAAAATATAGCGAGATTATATAGTTGATTCAACTATATTTTTCTATCAGTGTACGCGCGCGTCAGCTAAGTGGAGCGGCGACGACGCGCGTTGGCGGATCGCAGAGAAACTCTTGAAAGAAGTGCGAGCTTGCCTGAATATAATATAATATAAAGCTAAGACTTTTGCCGTTTCCGCATGTAAATAGTATGTAAATATTATGCGAAGACATAATTTCGGGAAACATTAATGTTGATGCTATTTCGCGAACTGCTCGCCCCGTGACCCGAAATGCAAAGCGACGGGGCATGGCGGAAGGAGCGGGGGGGGGGAGGGGGACATCGCCTTCCGGAACGGCCAAGTAATTTCGGATGATGGGTATCGCACGCAAAATTACGTGGTTTTCGCGAGAAGGTGGGGGGGGGGGGAGAGAGAGAGAGAGAGAGAGAGGGGGTGGGGGCGCGAGAGAGGCAGCAGCAGCAGCAGCAGGGGGAAGCGCGGTGTTCTTCCGCAAAATTGCGCTCCGAGTCGAATTTGCAGCGCGTTGCGAGAGACGCGATAAAAACGTTTCGGGAATATTGGAATTAGTATCTATTTTCCGCGGCACGAAAGTTCCGATAAAAGTTTCCCTCGCGCGCTCGCGCGAGAGCCGTTTCGCGCGAGCGCGTATTAAAAAAGTATTACGCCCGCGAAAAGTTTCTTTATCGGGCGGATAAAAAAGAGAAGGAAGAAACACCGTTTCGGGCGGGAGTGAAACATTTCTCCCCCGTAACACATTTATCGGTCTCTCTGATACGTTTTTGAACATTCGACGAGAGGTCGTCGGCCCCGCCATCGCGGACGTCTCGCGGCGCAGCGTTTCGCGAATTTCGCATATCATTTCGCGCATGCCCGCCCGCGAGACCCTTTGTTCTTAAGGGGTAAGGTTAAACTTGAGGGGTAACATTTGAGTGAACGCCTGAAAACACCGAGTAAGTTTGGCAACATTTTGTAGTTAAATAACAACATAGACGGAAAATTGGTTTGAAGAAGGCCTCTTAACGTGCATACCTTACACTACACAAAACAATCTTTTGTTATTATTTTGCCGCAAGATGGCGGCGCTGAAGCTCCTCCGAGTAAAACCACGCTTTTCGAATCGGCTCGCGGCGGAACTTCCACAAATTTCGTCCGACAAATTCCACTCGAAATTTTTACAGTAGCTGCTAAACTAAGTTCTCTAGAGAAGTACACGCATGACTTTTACGATCGGTTTAAAACTTTTGTTATGATAGATATTTTCCCACTGAATCTCTTGGATGAAACTGCAAACTTTTCTCCCAATGTTCACCATTTCTACAAAAATCAATATTTTAACATATACGTGTGCGTATACTTCTTCAGCAAATTTAATGCGGATTAACAAAAATTTTGCCCTCTTATCCTTTTTGAAAGCGTACGGCATTTCTGCTGCAAGCCGCGGGAACCCATGAGAAAAATGCGCTTTTACTCGGAGAGCTTCAGCGCCGCCGCCATCTTGAGGCAAAATAATAACAAAAAATTGTTTGTGTGTAGTTTATTAAGGTATGCACGTTAGAGGCCTTCGAACCAACATTTTCCATCTGTGTTGTCATTTAACTACTTAAAAAATTGCCAAACTTACTCTGTGTCTTCAGGTGCGTTCACTCAGATGTTACGCACCCCTTAATCCTTACGTCCTTGTTTCGCCTTATTTCGCCGCGCTGCCGTGCATAACTGTTATGCTGTATCGCATTGCACATTGCGTTAACGAACAAAACACGGGGATAATACAATGGGGGCCGCTCGTGCGTCAGCCAAGCGATGAAAGGTCGCGCGAGCCGGTGGGACCGAGCGCGAGCGGACAGTGATTTTTTTCTTTCCTCTTTTTTACGAAAATTGCGCTGTCTCGCGTTTTGTACGTTGTAATCTTTTGTCATGTGCGACGACGACGAATTTCTGAGGGCCACGGCGACCTGGCCGAAAAAAAAGGGGTCGAGTCGTTCTTTGCTCTGCTCGGTCGTGCAAATTTAAGTAGAGAGAAACGTCCCCCGCGCGCGCGCGCGCGCGCTGCCAGCCTGCGACTCTCCTGCCTCCTCCCTCCCCCCTTCTCCCCCTCTCTCGCCGCTGCCTGTCTATTTTTCACTCACTCCCTCGCTCGGTCTTCCCTCTCAGGGTTTTTATTCCCCGGGGAAGGGTATTAGACGTCTGCAGTTCTTACACGTGCCGTTAACTCCTGTTTGACGTTTGACGTGGCAAATGCGAAAAGCAAACAGCGCCGCCTCGTGAAAGCGTCGTTGCCGAAAATAGGGTTTTTCGACGGCGTTATGCAGGATTACGGAGAGAGAGAGAGAGAGAGAGAGAGAGAGAGAGAGAGAGAGAGAATCAGCGCTTAACCCCTCGTTCCGCCGTTTCGCAACATTTTTCGGCGCCGTCGCTGTATATTTATAATGCCATTAAAATCCGCGGCCTGTGGTTTTCCCATCCCCTCCTCCCCTTTGCCCTGTTCTCTTTCTCTTTTTTCCCGAATTTCCGCTGTCAATCCGTCTGTCTGTGCCGGCTCGCGAGAGAGCGACGTCGCGCGTCGCCCTACCTCTTCCACTCTCGGGACAGATTTGCGCGCTCGTGATTCCCGGATTAGCGTCGAATTAAACGCGTTTTAATAACGGAATTTCGAGAGAACGCGAGACACGCATCCCGGCGAGCTCGCGCGCGCGCGCGATGACGGCGAACAGTGTTTTCAATTTCGCGCTCGAGAGACTTTATTCTCGAGGGAGAGGTGTTCGATTCCGCGCGCTCCTCCAAAGCTGGCCCCGACGAGGTCCATTTGACGCATCGTTTGACAGAGGGGATATAAAGAGTCTCTCCGCCGTTTCTATAAAACGTCACTATCGTCGCAATTAATTATCCATCCATCTATCCATCTATCGGGCAACTTTCGCCGCTAAATCTCCGGAGTCAACGAGCTTTCCTCGCTAAACGGGATTAACCCGTTTTTGCTACCCCGCGACCGGCTCTCCTCTCGATTCAAATTCCACCGATAAACCCACACACTGTAGCTGCCGCCTTTCCGACTTTCCGAATGCGACGCCCATGTGGTCAGCCGTATTTCCGACCCGCGCGGCAAAGTATAAACTTTGTTCTTGACTCTTGCAGAAATGCAACGGTTATTCCGAACGAGTTTAAAACGTGCATCCCCGTCGCGCCGTTTTCAACGCGCTCGTTCGAGCGGCTCTTCACAAGTCTCATCTTGAAATCGAGACTGTGCCGCATAGGAGAGGTGAAAGAGAGCGAGCGAGCGAGCGAGCGAGCGAGAGAGAGAGAGAGAGAGAGAGAGAAGCAGGGATAACATCTTGACGAAACTTCGCAAGACCGATCGTCGAAGTGTAGGAAGTTACGCGCACCCCCGCTGTCCCTCCCCGTAAAGTCCTCCGCAAAACCCCCCGCGGAGCGGGGCGGAATCCACGCAAATCCAAATGGAGGGATCGAATTTCGAGCGAAAATTGTCCGATACGTGATAATCCGTCGCTACCGCCACGTTGGAATTCCGTCGCGAGACACAACGCGCGCGCGCGAGAATCTCGCAAAGTTTCCTCCGTCTCGAACGGCGCGCCGTCTGCATGCGATTATCGACAAGAGGATCACGTCGCAGGATGAAATTTTCAATCGCGCTCCCGGCTCCCGCGGGCAGCCGCATTTAAAGTGTTGCGGCTCGCGCGCACCAACTGATGATACTCGTTTGACGTGGCTCGCGGAAAGTAAACACGAGCCGCAGCGCGGCGCGTTTCCCGGGCTGCTGGCTGCAGCGGCGTTACCTTCGGAACTAATTTTTCCTCAAACTTCCCTCGCCTCCCGGGCGAGGAAAACGCCAGCCAGCCAGCCAGCCAGCCAGCGGAGACGGGCCGTGTTAAGCAGAGGAGTGCGCGAGCGCGCGCGGGCGGTTTTCCCAAATGAAGTTTCCAGAACTATTCCGGCGAGAAGAGGAGAACCGGTGGCACCGGTTCGCATAAAGATCACGTCTTATTCTTGCCGCTCGCCGCGCCGCTTCGCGCTAATATTAATAACCTCGCGTCTGCCGCGAGGAATCCGTGATATCGTCCGGAAGAGCGAGATTCCACGCGCGCGGAATTTGCAAGTACGAAAACTCCACGCTGACGGACCTAAGTGGTCCTCGCCGTCTCAGCAGGTCGAGGAGGAAAGGCAGGGAGGAGGGGGAGGATGGAGGAAGGAAAGCAACTTAACGTTTTAATCGGAGTTTAAGAGCAGTCGCAGCTCGCGCCGCGCTCACGACGGATTAAGCGATAGTGCAGTCGGTTGTCACTCACTTGGACTCGTCCTGATCCTCATCGTCGTCCTCCGAATCGAAGAAGGCGTCGTCGTCGTCCGAATCGACCGAGGTCTCGGTCCTCAGCCGTCTCTGCTGCACGACTCGCGACTTCGGAATCACTATGTCCCTGAAACACACATTCGCGCGATCTACAATAGAGAGAGAGAGAGAGAGAGAGAGAGAGAGAGAGAGAGAGAGGGAGAGAGAGAGAGAGAGAGAGAGAGAGCGAGCCGGCGACTCTTAAATCACGTTAACATAAGAAACGCGCTAACGAGTTTTAAATGAGTAACCCTGCCCTCTTCTTTCCCCTCTCCAATCCCCTCGCCCGACCGCGTCTTCCGTGTTGCCGGACAAAAATTTCCATTCCCTTCATTCCGGATGAATATATCCCGCCGTCGCGCTGCTTTATTTTCAAGAACGAAAAGTAATGGAAAAATCTCGTACGTGAGGCACACGGAAGAGGTACGCGGGCTTTCTCTCCCTCTCCCTCTTTCAGTGTGTGTGTGTGTGTGTGTGTGTGTGATAACAATGCGGTTATTTTTTCTCCCTCTTTTTCCTCCCTTTTTTCCGAACTACCGCTCGTCGTTTGTTTGCGCAACACGAGTCCATCAAACCGAGGCTCGAGACGATATATGATATTTACGAGGGGGAACGCGGGGCACAGCGGGGCGCGCTAATACGACGATGCCACCTGAGACAATGTAACGATAACAGCGAATATAAATGCGGCATATTTGCATTCACTGGGCCGGCCGGAGGACGCAAGAACTTGTAGCTCGCGCGCGCGCGCGCGCGCGCCGCGGATAATTAATACTGTTCTTGTTTCTTTCTCTCTTGCCGGACGCCGACACAGTTTCGCAATAATTAATGGACAATGAGAGGACGCTTTTTGTGCGGCAAATAAAGCGCGAGCTCAATGTTTCAACTTCGAATTCTAATTGCTCCGTCCCGAGCCTCGGAAAGTTTGGAGCGATTCAACGCGCGCGATTTGCATAGAACCTACTTTATTCGATGAATTAATGCTCGTTATGAAGTTTCGTGTCCTACAAGCCTGCCCGCGGCACCGGGCTGCGCTACGTCCTGGAAATTACAGCGCGAAGCGCCAATTGCCTTTAATATGAGACAAAAATTTAACGGCCATTACTCGCGCACAATTACGCTACCGAACTAGACTGTCCCCCCTATCCCTCCCGCCGATCCTGCAGCTTTTTAGCCGCGCGCGCACGTCATAAGTCGCTAAGCGGGCTTTCTCGTTTTACCGTCGCTTTATTATTTTATCTGCTCGCGGCCACACGCCGATGTAATCACATTTTACGGTGACGAGGCCGTTATCACAAGAACGATCCCTCAGGATGACTTGGCGCGCGTCACCTGACCCGGACCGACGTGCCGCCGGAAAAAACCTCTGATCCTCTCACGCGGCGGGAGTGCGCGCGCCCTTTTGCCCCCCCCCCTCTCTCTCTCTCTCTCTTTCCGGCGATATCGAATTTGGAAATTGCTAAGACGATTAAGCGCACCGGATGAGCCGGGATTCCTTTGTCTAGCGCGCGAAAGGGCTAAAACGCGACGGTGTCTCTCTTGTCGGCAAACGAAATCGGAAGATCAAAGTTTTCGAGAGCGGTGTGTATCCTTGCGGACGTGAGCGGAGATGCGATCAACGTTACACCGACAACGTCACAAATTGACCTTGCGAAAATCGCCTGTTGTTGTACTGAGCGGAGATGCCTTCGAATAAAAATTACCTCGCCGATAGAGAGAGGGGGAGAGAGAGAAAGGGGGAGAGAGAGAGAGAGAGAGAGAGAGAGAGAGAGAGAGAGAGAGAGAGAGAGATCGTTGAAATGTGAGCGCGCACGGCCGACTGACGGTCGGGCGAGCCGATCGAACGCGAAATCGATGCGCGAAAGTGAAACGCTCGACGATATAATCAGCGCGGCCGGCGGAATTAATCTCCGAGAGCATCGATTCACCGCTGCAGCGCGCCATCGGGCTGCTTAGCCGCTAATGACGTATTAAGGTCATTAATGTCGCACGGCCTGCGTCCTGCAAGATGAAAACCGCTGATCGAAAGATCCGCAGCTCCGAAAGAAAGTATATATATATATGTGTGTGTGTGTGTGTGTGTGTGCATCCAATTACAGTTAACTAGCGAGCGGCGGGACGGCAGCGCGATTTAATTTTGTTGTTTTGCGGACGATACCGTCATTAATATCGGGCTGCTTAAACGCCACCGTCGATGCCGCGCTTCGAGAATTTCGGCTATTCGCCGGGCCAGCGGAAATTGGCGTATTACGAGATTGATAATGCCGGGCCACTTTGGAAAATTGCTAGTCCGAAGCAAGTGGTACACCATCGAGAGCGGGGATTTACGCGTTATCGTTGTTAGCGGCGAGTAAATTTGGGCCGAGCGCAACGCGAGGAGGATCCTTACGAGAGATCAGCTTATATCCGCCGCCGCCGCCATCGTTCCTGCTCCCGAATAAAGGCCGGGGGATTTAAATAAAGACGTAAGCGCGGCGCATAAATGTCTCGACCAATGATGCGCTTAACGTAAGCCACGCGCAACAATATTGTGGCTTACGCTCTGTGTGTATATGTGTGTGTGTGTGTGTGTGTGTATGTGTGCGTGCCGCGGCTAGGCTAGCAAAGAGGAAACTATTGCATCGCGAGTATCAGAGAGCGATAAAGAGCTTGCGAACGGCTCGCTAATTGGCCAGAAGTTGGATACACGAGTTATCGACGGAGAGGACAAGGGCGGACTCACCCAGACTTGTGAAGCTCCTTCTTCGAGACGCAGACGGCCGTGAAAGTGTCCTCCAGCAGGCACAGTTCCTTCTTCTTGCAGTTGAGCGGACGACAGAGCTCGCCTACGGAAAAACAAAGGGAAATCGATTTCGCGTTATCCCCGGAATGCGCGTAAGCGGACGGAAAATCTACCTCATGTCACGCGGTGTGTTGTTGCACCACCACCACCACCACCACCACCACCACCACCGAGGCAGACTTCGCGCATTCGCGGGCGACGTCTGCGTGTATATTTTGCGGCTCCGGGCGCGAATAGATGCAAATGCGCCGCGGGTGGCCTTCGCCCCTCGAAGACTCGAGGTATAATAAAGATATACGTTGGCCGGGGCGAAAAAAAGATATCCGTCTCCTCACTATTTTTCATCTTACCCTCCGTCGTGCGGAGATGCAACGGGGGCTGAGCCCCCGTCCCGGTGAGCGCTCAGCGGGATTGATAAAAAGCCAGCCGGTTATTAAGACGCGAGAAACCCGGCTGAGAATCTAGTCGGAAACGGCCGCTCCGCGATAGAGAGCGCGCTCTGATATTGCTTAATCTTGTCGGATAATTCTATCCTGCCGAGTAGAAAAGCCCGCGCGCTCTCCTCTTATATTCGCCCGCGCTTCTCTTTTTATTCTCCACCCCCCCCCCGCCGCCGCCTGCCGCCGCCCCGCCCCCGCCATCATCGTTATTAGCAACGAGCTAAACATTACTCGGCCCCACGTGGATGCTCCGGGCGAACTAATTGCGCACGAGCAACCTGTACGCGCGTGTATTACACCGCGTGTATATATATATATATATATATGTGTGTGTATATATATACCGTGTACATTTATGTACATTTATATAATCACGGCTACGTGGATTTAATTAGACAACGACGACCGTCTCCTCCCGCGGCGAGCAAAGACGCACTTCCTGTTGCCGCTCGCCGTAAATAGAGCGCTCGGAAGGTTAATCGTCGCGCGCCTCATAACTCTCCCCGTCGCGTCGAGCCGAGCGGCGCACGACGGCAACCGCACTGAGAGAAAAGTATATGATATTTGGAACTATAATGATACAGTAACTAAATTACAGTCCGAAATATCATATTTATAGCAAGTATTAGCATAATATCGGTAACAATATACGATATAGGCATAGTATAACCAAGCATGTAATATTTTTACTAAGAATCATAGTAAGTCAAACTAAAATTATTGTATGGATACAAATCTATAAAATGGTAGGTAAAAGCAACTCTTTTATATAGTCAATATTACCCGAATAATTGCTAAATGATGACAGATGTAACTATATGAATATTAAATCTCGCTATATTTGTGAATGAGAAATTACCATATATGTGGTAAAGAAGTAACTAAACAATTATTTCAGACAATCATTGCCTATATGTTTGTGTTTATTCTACTATATTTGCAGATTCCACGAACCTGCAACCACGAATAAATGAACTACAAGATACAGTGAGATTATAGTTAACTCAACTATATTTTTCTATCAGTGCGCGTTCGCGACAGCAACGAGAAAGACGAGAAAGCGAGAAGAAGACGAAGGGCAGCGAAGAGGGAGGGAGCGAGCGAGCGAGCGTGCGAGAGAGAGAGAGAGAGAGAGAGAGAGAGAGAGAGAGAGAGAGAGAGAGACCAGGGCGGTATCAGTGTTGCGCGGACGCGCGCGCCCGTCAATCCCGCGGATTTTCTGTCCGCGAAGCGAAGCGAAACGATCCGCCGCCTCCGCCGCCGCCGTCGCCGTCGTCGTGCACGGCGGGGCATTGCCGTTGCGCGCCGAGCATTTCCATTCGCCTGGAAATCGCCGACAAGCGATATTGGTCGTACGCGAGAGCGCACGACCCGCCGCCGCCGCCGCCGTCGCTGCCCGCCCGACCGAATCTCTCTTCTCCATTAACCCCGGGACCGACCACCACCATCGCCGCCAGCGGGGCACCGCCACCCCCGGCCGATGTCTTCTCCTCGCCCGTCCTCGCAATCAATAAAATGGGACTCGGCTCATCGGCCAACCAACCACCCTTCAGCGCGAGCGCTCGCCGAAAAACGGATATGCTAACGTGCGCGCGGCGGCCGTCTCTGCCTCCGCAGATGCGTTCTTCACCCTCGCGGAGAGACTCTCCCGTTCTTTCGCAGCCCTTGTGAGAGTGCCGTGCGAGAGAGAGCGAGAGAGAGAGAGAGAGAGAGAGAGAGAGAGAGAGAGAGAGAGAGATCGTGTCTTTCGATTTATGTCCCTCGTTTATTGAGTACCTCGGAACGAGCGGAGAGAGAGAGAGAGCTTCTCTCGCGAAAGTCGCGTCTACTAATTCGAGCGGATCTCGAGATGAGAAGATGAAACTCGATTAGAGTTCGGAGGAAATAAGGAGTCGCAGTCGCGCGCAATTACGTAATTATTTCGCAATTAAATAACATTTCCATGCACGGGTCGCTCGTTCCTGCGCGCGTCCGTGAGCGCGCAAGAAAGTCTTGCGTTTTGTAATTTGGGAGATGCGCGCGACGTCGCGAGACAAGAAATAAATGAGCATCTGACGACAAGAGAGGGTTTTTGCCTCGAGCATAAAACTGGCTAATATCCAGCCGGAGTTGCCAAGTTTTTCGAGTGGCGATACAGAGCAGGGGACTTATAGAATTTTGCAGCGGTAACTCGCCCGCGGAATTCAGTCGCGCACGTATCGGATTAATTGCCGTAAGAAGTCTGTAATCTAGTGAGCAGCATAATTTTATATCTTTCGTCGGTCGGTCGGGAGGGAGGATTTCGTTTTGCAAATGCGAATTGAATGCGCGCACGAGCACACGTGAAACGATATTAACAAGCGTCAGGAGCGCGATCAACAGGGGAAAAAATTCATATTTTTCGAGACGCATATTTTTACGCATATGAGCGCGCGCGCACTCATTATCCCTATTAATTGAATTTACTCGCGATACTTGGACACATTGATGTACCGAGCGGGCAGATTAATTAATCAAATAATGCATACTAAATGGCAAATTTCGTAACAAACGCCGTAATTACAACGTAGATGCAATAGTTATCTTATCGTTATTAACTCCGAAGTGATCGGCCGCGCTCGCACGATCCAAATTAATCGCTACGGTAATCAAACGAAGTATAATTAAGCGCGATCGGCTTTTTTACTTCGCTCCTGCGCGATTTTAGTCGCTTATACACTTTCGGGAGCTTATACTTTCATTATTCGCATTATGAGCGTGCATCCGCGAGCAGCTTTCCAAAACTTGCGGAAGTTTACCTTCGACGTCCGCTCCCGAGCGACAATTATGAAGAAGACAGAGGCCTCCCGGTATACATACAAGCTGTTTCAGACCACCCGATTTTTTTCGTAAACGCGACATTTTAGAGAAAAATGTCTCGGACAAAAGTTGTAGGGCTTCAAAGAATCTATTTATCGATGCTATAAATTTGACCTCGGGATGACCCTGAAAAGCCCAGTCAAGATCAACATAAAAATCTTAAATGGAAACTCCAATTTTTTATCATACCGTCTTTTTCCACCAATTAATTTGACGAACAACTTTTGTTCTGAAACATTTTTTTATTTGCCTAATATTTTCTGAGATATTTAAGGATAACTGGGTAACTTTTTCAATATTTAACTTACGATATCTCGCTAACTGTTTGTCGGGATAAAAAAATGGTACCAGACTTTTCTATTTTACTTGGTCTCAAGAATATATTGTCACAATAGCGCCCTGACTTTAGTTAATTTGATGATTTTGAAATTTCGAAAGGTCGATAAATTAACAAAACATACAGCATTATTGTGTATATATATATATATAATATATGCCTTGGACTTTATATTTGAAGATTTACCGCTGCTCACGTACATACGTGTGCAATAATCCGCACTGCGAGAATTATTACAAACGCACCGAAACTTACATTTATATATATATATATATATATATATGCGCCGCAGTCACATAAATACCGTCGCGTAGGAAAACTCGCCCGGTCGCGTGAAATCGCGCGAAATCGCGCGATGTTTCCGCTCGCTGGTGTAATATTCGCGGCAGACTGAGCGGAACAAGAAGCACGAGGCAGAAGAAGATGATGGGGGAGGGAGAGGGGAAGAAGAAGAAGAAGAAGAAGTGGAAGTAGAAGAAGAAGTAAAAGAAGAAGATTGTCCAGCCCGACAGTCGATAAAAGGGGTGACACCCGCCTCCGCTGTCGCCCGTGAACTCCGGACGTTAAAGATTTCAAAATATCCAATTAAAAGTTTCTCCTATGACGCGCCGAGCTTGTCTCTCTCTCTTTCTCTCCTTTCTTTCTTCCCCCCCCCTCTCTCTCTTTCTCCTCTTCGCGATGGAAGCAATATCGCGCACGGAATTAGAGTCGACCGTACATGAATTAAGAAGAGCCCAGGACTTCCTTGACGGCTTAATTTCGCGGAGGATTAGACGGAGGGGCAGGAGAGGCGGGGAGGGGGCGAAGAAGGTGCTAGCTATACAGTTAAGCCCCGTCACGTTCATGCTATCGCCGTGATATCTGTGAAACTTTTACCTACGGGCTACTTCGCGGACGGCAGCGGCGGCAGCGCGAAGATACGCGTCCCCCGAAGCCACGAGATCCGCGAGAGATGTCGCAAGCTGCGAGCGTTATCGTCGACGAGTTGTCAACGTCGTCGTCGTCGTCGTCGTCGTCGTCGCCGTCTCTCCGGACGAACGAGAGGGTGTCGCGCGCTTCCTCTCGCGCGTGAGAAGACTCTCGGGGGGCGGCTGAAAGTCGCAACGTCTACATGCGACGGTTTTCTCGGCGAGAAACGGATTCGCGACAATGGGGATAGACAGAGAGAGGAGGGGGAGGAGGGTATTCGCGAATGTGTAAACGCTCGCCGGCCATATTTGAGCGGTTCTTCGGCGGATCGAAGCAATCCGGCCGCCGAGCGTAACTCCGGATTTCGCGGCAGTAAAGTCGGGAGTTTCGTAGCGAGCGGCTTTCCAGCCGGCTGGGAAAAATATTTGAGGTATTCCCGGCTGCGGAGAAGACGGCGGCGGTGTGGCGGCTGAGAGAGCCGTGTTTCCGTTAAAAGATTGCGGAAGCCGCGGCGAAACT